ATCCATACACACATCAATTGTGTAAAGCGCATTTGTACATCGTTTCTCAAAACATTTTCTCTCCATTTAAACCCCCGACATTAGGTCCTCATTGTTTGCTTTTTTAAAAGTGGCATTTGCAGGTTCTTAGTGATACTTTACTCTGTGCTAATACATTTTTTTAATGTCTCCACATCAGGTTTTCATCTCAGCTTACTAGATAGGAATTAGAAGCCCATCCTATTTAAAGACGATTGGAGTGTAACTGCTATAAGCAACCTATGTACAACAGAACAAAACATTACCTGCCTGTGCCATCATCACAAATGTTCTTTAAACCCATTGTGGCAACCCCGGTGTCTTTACTCTTTCTTTTTGCTGCCCCTGTACTTTACCGAGCATGATGTCCTTCTCCAGGGACTGGTCTCTCCTTATAACGTGTGCAAAGTACATTAGACCAAGTCTTGCCATCCTTGCCTCTAAGGAGCATTCTGGCTGTAATTCTTCCAAGACAGATCCATTTGTTCTTTTCACAGTCTGTGGTACTTCAATATTCGTCACTCAGTGCCATAGTTCAAGCACATTGATTTCAGTCTTTCTTCTTCACTGTCTGACTTTCATTTGCAAAAGTAGTGACTGAAAATACCATGGCTTGAGTCAGGAACACCATAGTCCTCAAAGTAACATCCTTGCTTTTCAACACTTTAAAGAGATCTTATGCAAGAGATCACTTGATCTATTGACTGCTGCTCCCACAGCATTGATTGTGGATCCACGTAAAATGAAATCCCTGACAACTTCAATCTGTTATCTATGTTACCGAATGGTCCATACGAGGATTTGTGTTTTCTTGACATTGAGTTGTAATCCACACTGAAGGCAGCAATCTTTGATCTTCATCAGCCAGTGCTTCAAGTTCTCACATTCAGCCAGCAAAAATGTGTCATTTGCATATTGCAGATTGTTAAACTTTCCTCCAATCCTGATACTGAACTCATCTTCATGCAGTCCGCCTTTTCTGATTCTTTGTTCAGCATACCTATCGAATAAGTGATGAGAGCGTATCAACCTGATGCACACTTTTCTTCATTTTAAATAACTCAGTCCTTGTTTTCCGTTCGCACAGCTGCTTCTTGATCCATGTGCAATTTCTGCATGAGCACAATTAGGTATTCTGAAATTCCCATTTTTCTCAAGGCTATACATAGTTAGGGTCCACACAGTTGAATGCCTTGGCCTACTTAAAATACAAGTAAATCTCTCTGGCATTCTCAGCTTTAAGCCAAGACCTAGCTGACATCACCGACAGTACCTATTGTTACATGTCCTCTTCTGAATCTGGCTTGACTGGCAGCTCCCTGTCGGTATGCCACTGCAACTGTTGGGTGATCTTCAGAAAAATTGTACTTGCATGTGATATCGGTAATACTGTTCTGCAGTGTCACCATTCTGTTAGGTCATTTTACTTGGGAATGAGCACAAATATGTATCGCTTCCAGTCAGTTGCCCAAGTAGCTGTCTTCCATATTTCCTGGCATAGATAAGTGAGTGCTTTAGTGCTTCATCTGCTTTTTGAAAAAAAGTTCATTTGGTATTCCATCAATTCCTGGAGCCTTGTTTCTGGCTGATGTTTTCAGTGCAGCTTGGACTTCTCTCTTCAGTATCATTGGTTCTTGTTCATATGCTACCTTTTGAAATGGTGGAGGCCTGACTAGTTCTTTTTGGAACAGTTGTATTCTTTCCAATCTTCTTTTGATGCTTTCTGCATCATTCAATATTTTGCCCATAGAATCCTTCAATATTTCAATTTGAGGCTTGCATTTTTTTTCTCTAGTTCTTTCAGTTTAGGATATGCTGAGTGTGTTCTTCCTTTTTGGTTTTATGACTTTTCCTTTCTGCTTATAGGAACTAATATTGTCTCTGCTTAAGATCTTGGACTTCACACGCCTATACCCAAGCCAAGCATCACCGAGGAATCCCAACTTCTCAGTATCAGAATCCTTTTGTACCTTTCCTCTCACAATGAACAGCTTAATATAATAGGTAGGAGTGTCAGTTCTGGAGGGAGCAGGCCCAGGTTTGAGTCCATGCTCTGTTAGGCAAGATCTTAATTTCAATGATAAAATAGAAAACAAATAGTACCTATCTCATTTAGAAGATTTAATGGGGTATAGCATAAAGTATTTTACAGTTTCACTAACAGTGTCTGAGGGTTCCAATCTCAGCGTACCTTCATCAATATTTGTTGTTTTCTGGGTTTTTTTAACTTTGCTATTAATGCTGGGTTAGCTGATACCTCATTGTTTTGATTTGCATTTCTTTAATGACTATAAGGTCATTATGAGTTAGAAATGACTTGATAGCAATGTGTTTGCTTGAGCTTTTTTTTT